AGCTTAATGAGATTATCAGAAGCAATGGTGATAAATTTGATGAAAAGAAGGCGAGAGGTATGCTTTATGATACCATCACAGAACAGCTTATTATTCTCCGCAAGAAAAGATCGCAAGAATTAGGGCTAAAACTTAGAGATGTATCACGGGATAGCTTGCATAAGAAAACTCAGAGAGCTTAAAAAAACTATAAATTATTCGAAAAAGTAGGTCTAGATAAGATCAAGTATATTAATTCATATAGCGCGAATTCCATTTCAGAGCTTACTGATGCACAATTTCAAGAGATTATAGATTATGGTATATCTTTGGAAAAGTTATTTTTGAAAGCTGATCATGTGTCCGAAATTTCTGAGACAGCCTGTCCTGAAAAAATCTTGCCAGAAGTAAATACATCTCAAATCACTCCAGTTAAAGCAGATGATAATGATCTCACGAATCTTAAGGAGGAAGATTTCTGTGGCAGTGAGGTAGTGATCGCAAGTATATCATCTGCATCCCAATCTAAGCCCGATCATTCCTATTTTTGCAACAAGATATTGGATCAATATTCTAATCTATATAGAGAATGTAGTATTGAAAATTTTGACTATTATGGGATTACTGATTAGACAACATGCGGGGACTATATCTACCCATTATGCAAATTAGGCCATGATGATGAAGAAATAGAAGGTAGGTATAAAGCAGGATCTTACTTTATTAAATGTGAACAATGTGAAATTGAGATAGTTGTATAATCTTATTGCTTTACAATAGTCTGAAAAGTTTAATCTTTTTTTTTCGAATGAATAGGTTTATATGAAAAAAAGGGATTTAAATTGTTTGCAGACATATAAAAAGGAAAATGACTGAGTCTGATAAAATACTAACTCCCGAATATCTAGACTGGCATGCCAAATTAGGTGGGCTACCAAGCGTTTTGACGGATAAGATTCGTTCCAAATTATACAAAAGATATAAAAAACAAACTGAAAATGAGCCATGGCAATTATCGGAAGCTGTGATAGATATGTCAGCAGAACCAGTCCCTTGC